ATAAACATTATTTAAATAACTCAAATCTTTTCTTTTCACTTTACTTATAAATAATTTCATTTGAATCAAACATATTTTTATGTTAACAATAAATAATTTCATTTGAATCAAACATATTTTTATGTTAACAATAAATAATTTCATTTGAATCAAACATATTTTTATGTTAACAATAAATAATTTCATTAGAATCAAACATATTTTTATGTTAACAATAAATAATTTCATTTGAATCAAACATATTTTTATGTTAACAATAAATAATTTCAAAAGAACTCAAATTTTATTTTCATTTAAATAATACAAAATTTATTTTCATTCAAATAATACAAATTTTACGAAAATAACACAAAATTTTATTTTCATTCAAATCATAAAACTTGTAAAAGTAACACAAATTTTATTTCATTGTGCCAATGAATAAGTGTTACTACTAAGTTATTTTATTTTACTAATATTTAATTTTCAATTTACTAATAAAAAAAATTTATTTTACTACTAAATTTTTTTCAATTTACCACTAAATTTTTTCAAAAAATAGCAAATTTTTTTTCAATTTCAGGAATCAAATATTTTCATAGTAATAAATTTTTTTTCATTTCACCAATAAATATTTTTCAATTTACTAAAAAATTATTTTATTTTACTAATAAATATTTTTATGAGAGTAATTCAAAATTTTATTTTTTCATTTAAATCATAAATATTTTCAAAGCAATTAATTTTTTTCACTTTAATAATTAATATTTTTTGCGATAAATAATTTTTATTTAATTCATATATTTTCATTTAACAAATAAATAAATAAGAGAGGAAGAAACGAAACATATGACGTAATTTTATATTTTAGCTTTTTTCTTTTCTTTGAAGCGAAAAAGTAAAAGAAAATTTCTTTTTTCTGTTCATTTATTTCAAAGTATAGAAAAAGAAACGAACAAAAAAAACCAATTCACAAGTCTTATTCGATAGAAAATCGTTGAATACGATTATTACCCATATCGGCGACATAGAGATTACCATGTCGATCGAAAGACAAACCAACGGGGACGTCGAACTGATTTGCTCCTGCTCCTTGACCATTTTCACCCACAACTACAGTGCCTTGTTTCTTGTCTCCTTGAGTCCAACGCATTACACGATGATTCCATGAGTCTGCTACATAGAGTGTACCCAACGTATCAACGAAGATTCCTTCAGGATTAGACAATTGTGTCAGAGCATTCCCTATACCTTGCCCTCCAGCGACCACAATACCTTCTTTTGCACCTTCCACCCATTTCATTACACGATGATTGCTGTTGTCTGATACATAGACAGTCTGTTGTCGATCGACAAAGAGATATCTCGGCCGGTTGAGTTGATTGAGTCCATTACCTTGGCCATTACCACCAGCTACGAGAGTGCCATTCTTCTCACCCAATTGATATCGTCTTACTTCATGTTTTGCTTCGTCAGAAACGTAGAGATATCTCTGTTCATCCATTGCTACTCCATGACAATAGATGTTGCCGATGAGTATTTCACCTTGTGTTATACCACTACGACGAGACCATCGTACAACTCGTCGATTCACATAATCACAAATAGTGAGACTATCTGTCTCTTCGTCAATTAATACATCAGTTGGCTGATACAATTGATGTAATCCAGTTCCTTGGCCTTTACCACCACCAACAACCTGTCCATTCGTTGTATCACCGTTCTTCCATTGCATGATACGATGATTCCCGTGATCAGCAATAACCACTGTTTGATCATCATCAACGAAGAGACCAAGAGGGTAGTAGAGTTGATTAGTGGCATCCCCATTCCCGTGACCTCCAGCAATAGTTACACCGTTCTGTGCCCATTTGGCATTAGCAGGAATATTAACTAGAAGAGAAAACGTACGAATAAAAGGAGATCTGTCTTTCTCTCTCGAGTATAACTAGTATTTGAAATAATTTCGAAAGTTTCGAGCAAAATTCTTTGAGTAGGTCATTCCTTTTTTTGAAAATTCCTCAGAATAAGTTTTTTCTATACTGGAAGATTATTCTATCGAAAGAATTACACATATAACATATCGTTTTCTCTCTCTCTCTCTCTCTCTCTGAAACTTATTCAAATTCTATATTTTTGTAGAACATCAAACTTAAAATAATTAAATCTAGTTAACCCAAGCAGACATTAAAAAGTCATTCACTCAGAGTTCCAAGTGGTGAACTCCATTTATTTTTTTGTGAAAATTATATAAGAGTGATGTTTGCAAATTAGAACGTATCTAATATTAAGTGATCAAAATGAACTTGCCAATTTTGTATCCGCAGACACATAATATACATTGTAATTTTTTTTATCATCACGTTATTTTCTCTTTCAGAAGTAAGAATGCAACAAACGAGTTGTGATTTGTTCTTTCTGTACAGTAAGTGTACTAGTGGACAAATGATTTCGAAAAGGTCTTTAGAATGTATTTTTATCGAAGTACTTTCTATTTTTCGTACAACATAAAAATCTGAATGATGGAGGATGGTGAGACATGATTCGGTCTCACCGCTGTTTTCTTGCAAATATGAAACTAATTTTCATATAGATAGTGTCATTCAATTTCTTTTATTGTTGCTTGTAACAGTTATTCGATTGTTGGTCTATAGAATCTAATCTAGTTACTTATTTGATTTGACACAAATCCATGTGTGCATTTTTCCCGACTACACTCCATAGAAATTTTCATGAAGCCCCTTTTGCTAATTGCATAACGCATCGACAGACAAAGATTAGAAAGGCGAGATTTTTAGCTAAACTAACGTAGTTTTTGTCTGACGTTGAAAGCGCTGAGTTTTCTATCATTAAAAGATAGAAAAATAAACTTGTCTAAATTAATTATTATGAATCTAACAAAATACTGCTTTTGACATTGACTCAAAAAATAGTTTTTTTCACAATATGAATGTTACTATATATTTGTATAGAATTCTTTATTAATCTATTTAAGGCTGACTAAAAATTAATTGTCTATCATTTAAGCAATCAGTAGAATAAATGAATGATCAGTAAATTATTTGTGTGGTCAGTTATTAGTATACTTCGATTTCTTGATATATTATTTAAAAATCAGTAAATTAGATTAAAGGAGCAGTATAAAAATTGAAATGCCTTATAAGGTGATTTACTTTACTTTTCATGTTTGCTCTTTTGGTCTCTATATATCGTACAGCTGATAAGTACAGCATATATAAATGTACTCGTAGCTTCTCTCTTTCACATTCAGCTTAGCATCAACGAGTGAAAAAGATGGAAGTCGTACAAGTTGCTCAATATGAAAATGATATATCAGACAACGAGGTTCTGGAAGAAAATGATGGAATAAATGGAAATCAAAGAATTCCAAAAAACGATGTGGGGTAGTGTAGACGAGCAGAAGAATCACACCCACACCCACACCCTCAGCTTCTCAAAAATCGCTACTTGTTTCCGCGGAATCATTTTAATAATAACTTTACATGCTATCGAGTCACTGTTGTTTCGTCTCGTCTCACGTGTATTCATTATTTCAGTTAATAGCTAGCTATGAGTCTATTTTCTATGAACAGACACGCATAATAATATAACGACTTATTTCTTATATATGACTCACATGAATATTATAATTCTTTTCGTTCTCTTAAATCTAAGTAGAATAGTTCCTATTTAGAAAATCGCATATTTCTTACTTCTATGTTCTAGAATATCTTTTATTAAATTCTATATAAATTACTCTGTGGCATTAGCAGGAATCTTAGCTAGAACAGAAAACGTATAAGAATAAAAGGAAATCTCTCTGTTTCTCTCGAATAGCTAGTATATGAAATAAGTTCGAAAGTATCGAGCAAAATTCTTTTAATAGATCATTTTTTTAATTCAAGAAAATTCACCTGGAAAATGTTTTCCACTATGGGACGATTCAATAAAAATGAAAAAATTATATTACGAAAACTTTGTTAGTGTCAGTGATTTATCATTCTGCCACTACAAGAGGATTGAGATTTTCTTTTTTCTGTCACATAACATCAGTGATACTGCGCTAGTCATTGACATCCTATACATTTGTGACGTAAGAAAAGTTGCCGATTCGAATTGCGCTTAACTTATTCCAAATGAGTAAAAAAGTAATGTCCTGTATCATGTCTCTACATCCTACACAAACACGTTCGTATAACTCTATGATTATGTCTAGTTCGATTGTGTATGCCCTTCTAGGTCCACACCCTAATTTATAGGTGAGAAAAATAAGAATAGATCAGAGATGGATGCACGCATAGATCGATATCGAACATCTAATATAAGAACATAGACTTATTTTAACTAATACAGTCAAAATGATAAGATGGCTATATAGTCAGAAACAACTCAAATATACTTATTGAAAATTTGAATAGAGAAAGATCGGGCTTCATAGCGTCACTTTATGAACATATAGAACACTATCCAGACTAAGGTTGAAATCCATTCACTATAAATTCTTTAGACATTTTATGAAAAGTTTAGCCCCTTTTCTGCATATATTCATATAATTATAAACAAAATAAGCTGCAGTATCTAATTAACTCAAACTTAAACGAGCAAAATATTCACAACTTCTATGAGAAAACTTAATAGAGTCATCTGGTTTAACCAAAACGATTTGATGAATCAGTTGTAGCTTTTTGTCGTTTGTTCCAATTATCTCAAAATCTCAAAATCAAATTAGTATGAAAAAACTTGAAACAGTATATAATCTAGACAAAAGAATAATAAAAATAATTTATCATTAGCTATCGATGATTGAAAGTATTAGGTGACTAATATCATAATTTTTTATTTCATTTCGATTTCAGTATTTTATGATAGTCTGAATTCACATATATTATTTTGTAAAAACTAATCCAGTCATAGGAAACTCTAAGAAAGATACAATGACCCTAGAGGAACAGGGAGGAGGAAATCAGGAATGCCAGCGGAAACCTTCACATCCAAAATGGAAAAGCAAAGGATACTGATGAGACAAACCGGAAGCACAACGAAACCCACGATTCTGCATCCTGACACAAATATGAAAGATCTACGAAGATCCAGATCGATAGAAAATCATATTTTAAGATCTTTCCGCAAAGAAACGCTGCAATTCGAGCTTGATTTAAGCCCGAAATCGTGATTTTACTAATAAAGATCTTTGAAGTTGATTTGTTCTATTTACCGTAACTAGATGATATTCTGCTGATGGAGAGCACGACACTGATTGTAAATGTTGCTCAAGGAAGATTTATAACAAATTCAAAGTTCTATGTCGACTCTTGTTTTCAATTAGCATCGATTAATATTAGAAATGGGGTTGGAACTTTGAATGCTCACTCATGTGGATAGATTGGCGATCTTCAAGGTGCTCATGTATCGCTAGGTCAGTTTGAAGACTGTTTTAGTATTTCAATACTTTTTTTTGAGCGCTTTCGTTTTTGACATATCTGACTCGGTTGGATTCGGAGAGAATGGTCTTTCTGCGCCTGTGCCTACCTGTCATCTTCCGTTCGTATCTGTGACAGGTGTGCTTGAAGATCTTTAAAATGATAAGATTTGAGTATTTTGTCGGTTTCTAGACTTTCCAGATGTTGGACGTGTAATTTATTGCTTTTTATGGTGTCGGCTTTTTTCGTATCAGATGTTTTTGAACTCTGGCAATTAAATTAATTTAAATCAGCTCACCAGTAGTTCCGTTTACCTAGTTATCGTGCATTGTCGCGTGGGATTATCTGAGCTAAATAATATCTTCCAATTTGAAGACACAATTCAATAATCTATCGTGGTCTCTACTCAACTATTGCTCTCAGCAGTGGGTTGTGAGTTGTGCAATCTCTTACGCGGTATTTTGTATTCAGTCTGTTTGTTCTCACACTGCTGTTAAATTCGTACTCCTTAAAACTGCTTTAAGAATGACTATCATGTCCAATTTAGCCCAATGTTTTGAAGAGAGCCAAAATCTTTATCAATGCTTGTATGGAATTGTAACTTTTTCTTAATATTCCATACATTTGAACATTGAATATACGATTGTATTCTAGAGATTCTTTTGGGAGAGCGATCCAATTTGTCGATTGTAAGGTATTAAAGTCATGTAGTTATAAGGAATACGTTTTCGAATAGATCCTATCGTTTCCGGTTGCGAGATTAAACCGGCAGTGGCGTAGCCAGGAATTTTTGAGCCATGGACCATTTCCCAGCAAAATTTTTTTGAGTATTGGGCAGTAAGGGACAATCATCAATCTATTGGGCGACACTTTTTAAAATTTATTGTCTTCAAAAAATGTTATGTTTATCGAGGTGAAATTTGTTACTTTTGATTAAGAAGATTGGTGTCTCTTTTCTGGCACTGTTTCACAAATGTAACCTTCAGCTTTTAAGTATTTAAAAATTTTATTTAAAAAAGAAGTGTAAATATGCAAAGCTATAATTGTATGAAATAGCGATAGACACTAGGTCTGATCCTAATAAGTAGAGAACTGTTCATCGGACCATATACTTAGTGTAACGATAAATGAGGAGAGCATCTAAATTCCAGGTGGGAGTGTAACGCTCCCGTTCGGATGTGGTCTGCGCGTGGTGTTTGGCCTTGTGGTGCCGTTTCTTCTCGTCGCATGTGTTGCCTTTATCTTTCTGTCCTTGATATTTGTCTTTATCTCTCATTCTCCTTCGTTCTCTCAAATGGATGAGTATTTAAACGTGTGTTTTATATGTAACCGGGGCGGTCTTATGATTTGAAGAGTGAAATAAAGTGTAATACCATCAGCACAGGTATCTCTTCTATCAGAAATCGTTACACTTAGCAACCCATACAACCTTTTTTTATACTGACTGGTATGAAAACTTTTCAAACTGTCGTGCCTTTTCCTGAAAATCTAGCTTGTAAGAATATTTATTTCCTATATCAAACACTTTTTATCGATGTCAAAGGTGATTAACGTTGGAAGAGAATGATACAACTAGTATATATCATCAAAATTCCTCAATAAATTCTTAGTGTATTTCAGTGGCCCACGGTCATCTCAATTTATGCTATCATAAGAAACTAGAGAAGTCTTCAAGATTGTATGTTTCATAGGTTTTTTGTACTAACCATAGTATTTCCAGGATAGATTTCCCACAAATTTCAAAAACAACGAACGATTACGAAAGCGGATTGCACGTGGCACTACTGATCGATGTCTACATCTAAAGAATAATTAATAAAGTTCAAAAAAAGGCAACGTAGAATTTATAGTGCTATATAGTTTTCTGTTCACTAAAAGACGTTAAGTGTAAAAAATACATCGAAATCGACAGTAAAAAAATGCTCTATAATAAATATTATTCGATTATTGCGTTGATTTCAAGATGGATATGACTAATCGAGGAGTTGATTTTCTTGATATCAAGTAAAAAAATATGAGTAATGACTTATGCTGAAATAACACTCGACCTTCTCAAACTATGTCGTTAAAGAAAAGGTCCTACCAGGTGCAACTTTGCTCCTCATTTATGCATTCAATTGTTTTTTTCTTTAAATTCTCACCTAGTTCCTTTAAGTATTTAATTCTTAAGTTGCGCGAGTCATGCCATTACTTATTTCAGCAGTGTTACTCTTAGATAGTTTCAGTTATTTACATTCTAAATAATCTTATATATTCAGGAAAATACATGAGAATCCACCAGCATTTTACGTCAACGATGCTGAGTAGAACAAGGAGTCTTGACCGAAAAATATAACAGCAATGTAATCATTATGTTTATTACTTTAATGAAGCAAATCTCAACCGATCCTTTTAAATGGATTGATTCAATGGCGATAAGCAGCTATTTATTAATAAAACGTCAGTATGATCTTCAAAAATGCACTCGTGTCAGAGCTGTTGGCATTGGACAAATGTCATCATCTGAAAAATTCGTTAGGCAATAAATTTGAAATCGTTGGGCAATTGCCCAATGGCCTTCCCCCTGCCTACGCCACTGTTAAACCGTCTGAAAGAAAATAAAAATGATCAAATCTGGGAGTTGCAACCGAATCGGAAACGATAGCCATAACCGGTCCCTGAATACTACTTCCATGTTTTTGCCGGAATTTCACCGGAACCAACAGTTTCACGCCGTACCGTTTGGGCCTGGGTTAAGTTCACTCTTTTCTATGCGTGCACATTTTCAAATGTTCATTCAAGAAGAACAGCGCATCAAAATTTCCAATAATTTCCCATTAGTCATAATAAACTCATAACCACGAGAACTCTGTTACATTTATCAGCTTATTCCTAAAAAAAGGATATCGATTGAATTTTTAAACATATCTATGGATCATAACCCATAAACAGTTGTTGTAGCACTTAGTAGTCAATAACTGTTTCTGGTGGAGTTATTTTTACCATTCAGAACCTTGAAATATGAAAAATTTAATGATGAGTTCCACATTTTTTAGATAAGATGGCTTTATTAGGGTTCGAACGAGTATTTTTTGATACTACATCCTCAATATCAATGAGTCATGAATTATTAATGATAACATATATATATCGTGAGAACAAAAGAGAAAAATATCGAGTTCAAGAAAAATAATAGAAAAAGACTGAGAACGAGTAATAAACTTTAAGATTTACTCGAAATTCTTAGCCCCCATCACTTTCATTCTTAATGGCATTAGATCTTTTATATCTACAAGAATTATGAACAATCTGCTTAACTTATCAATTAATGAAAATTTCGAGTAAACTCAAAGCAGCCATATTCAAATACTCGACTAAGAAAACGCTATTCGTGTTTATAAACAGATTTTTGAAAAAGCAATATCAATTAAACATTGCATTATGTATGTATATGCTTCATAATTTGTAATCAGGTGTTTCATACCTGTTCCGCATTTCGTTTTATTATTTCGAATTTGAAAAACAAAATGATTAATTATTTTGAAATCCGTGATTTTGGAATGATTTTTCCCAAAGAACGGAGTTTAGTAGTAAAAATTGTAAAAAAGATATCACACATTCGATTTCGTTAATGTAAGATCACGTTTGATTGAATGTTTTCTGATATACAATAGCTAAGATCATGAGATAACAAAAAACATGCGTGTTTTATTTTCAAGCTAAAAGAAAACTAGCGAAGAACTATAATAATGTTGTGCTTCGCATCGCAATAATGAGTTTATACGTTGTTTCCAGGGACGGCGCAAACGGGGGCGGGGGCCAAGTTTGGAAATTTTTGTTTCAATTTTACTCCGATTTGAAGAAAATTGAAGAGATTTTTATTGATTTACTCCGATTTTTGAAAAAAACCTCCCGTTTTCAAGTAACCCCCCTATATTTTTGTTTCTTCGCGTCGTCCCTGGTTGTTTCATGTTTTTTTTCTTATGCCAAAAATCGCATCACTCATGATAAAAGAGAGCGAATTTTATTTATGTAGATTTAGCTACGTGTGCAGAGTCAAATTTCATTAAACGTAATTATATAAATCTGATTAGAAACATTTAAATTGAGTAAGTGAAAAAAGAATTAAGCAAAGCTTACCTAGTGACTGAGCACGGGTTGTAGTTGTAGTTGGAACGGTTGTTGTAGTTGTAGTTGGAACTATTGTTGTAGTTGTGATGTTCGTCACTATTGATAATGGTAGAAAATTCATTCATAAAGGTCATTTAGTTCTATGTCTAACATAGAAAATGATATAAAAACTTATTGCTGTTAAGACTTTACAGTAGTACCCTAATTTGGTGAACCCTAGATTACTGAAACTGGTTCAAGCTCTAATTTGCTATGCAAAAAATAAAAATGGATGGCTAGCGCATATGTTTGTAGATGATACTGTATGGCTGCTCTTTAATGAGCATGGATACAGAAAACTCACAGTCACATCTTCACTCTCAAAATAACTGATGGCTCTTTTACTTGTGATTGGTGGGCAAAGTTGTCGATTGTAAGTCGGTACTGGATAACAAACAGGCGAGCTCTGACATCGAGGATGATGAACACATCTATGATCAGGTTCATAACAAAGATTGTTGTAATCGCATTTAACTAGTTCAGAACACTCTACTAAAAACTCATAGCTGCAAATGCCGATGTTAATAGCGCCTGGAATATGTAAACAACCGCAGTCAGTATTTGGCGAACATTTAGCATATTGAGCGACACCATGGCATATTTGAGATTTGACTTGAACTAGCAGTACACTAAATAGAAAAAAAGAACAAATCTGTAACGCTTTAAAGAAAGATTTCTCGATGTTCAGTCCGTAGAAAAATAATAGAACTACCTGCATAGAATGAGTAAGAAACAGGAGATTGTTTTTGTAGACATCGTCTTCTTTAAAATGAAATGCAACAGCAATAGTGCAAATGTTTTTATCTGATGAATAGTTAATCTTTCACACATTCACTGAAAGTGAAAAAAAACGACTTGATCCTTCGATCATTAGAAATTCGATATCGTTAATCGGTCGCTTTCTTTACAATTTAGCATTGCTCGGGAAACTAATCCTGAAAGCAGAAAAAAGTCCAATTAAACAAAATGATCGAAGCAGCTCGTTTCAGAATGTGTGCGTGTGAAGGACTGAATGTAAGTCCCATCTACTGGACCTTGTCCCAGTTGACTTAGATATTTTAGACACAACATTGGATTTTAATATTCTAAAATACATGTTTTTCTGAAACAAAATTATGTCTATAAAATTGATGACATGCCATTTCAATTGGACACAATGAGCCATAAGATTATAAGCGATATAAAAATATGATGATTGTGCATTAGTAAATAGACTTTGACGTTGGTTTTCAATTTAGCATGGCATAATCGTTGTCACTACAACTAATCACTTCAAAAGTACGAATGATAAGACAGATTCAAGTTACAATTGTTTTTGTCTCAATATTTTATTTTGGGTGTGGGTGTGGGTGAAAATATATATATATATGTTTCTGTAGCTTGTATGGATTTATCTGATCATCATTGAAGTATTTAGTTATTTTTGAGAAAAAAGTTGTTTTTTTTCGTAAAAAAATTATAATCGAATATGGCCACAAAATTTATACTTATCTGGTTACTCGTCATCAGCATCAGTAATATTACCATGTACTTGTTGTCATCGAAATCTCAAGAGAAAGTCATCCATCACTTATTGTATATTTCGACATCATTAAAAAGAGGTTAATTCGAACTATTTAGAATTATTAGTGCATAGTTCAACAAGCAATTAAACCAAAGACATTGATGCTGAACAAAGAGAAATAATCGTATCACCATTTTATTTCTATGGGATCTCCTTACACGAAGGATAGCTACTGAAAATTCTTCGTAGATTCCCATCAACCTACTAGAACAACACCTTTCGATTAAATAAAATAATTGTCAAATCTTTTTTTTCTAATGACATATCAGATGTGAAAATGATGGCGGAACATTGAGATGTGAAACGAGATAAATGATTTTTGAAAATGATTGCACAACTATAATATTCGTTAAATATAAAACAATAAACGTCAATGGAAGATAAAATGTTTTTAGCATGAATAAGCATTTCTATAATTTGAAATTATACACGTCTAAATAAAGTAAAACTTTCTTTTATATCGATCATATGAACCTTGAGAAAAATCATTCTATCCATTTTTTGCTACTGCGATTCTTAAATATTCAATGAATCATAATTTAACGTATAATGTGCATAATATGATTATTCTTAAAGAAAACAAACGAACAGTATCTCTGTGAATTTGACAACTAGTGACTGAATAACAACATGAGAACCGGAACGAACATATTTCCTGATCAAAGAATATGTCTTAGTAATATTGTTTGAAATGAAAACAAGATTGGATTTTTTTCTTCAATTCTATTGAAATGGAAAAAAAAGATTAAACCAACAACCTAAAAGCTAATTGCTTTGTTGCAAAATATGATGTAAAACATCCATTGCACCAGTTATCAATGTTAGTTTCGAAAATATATGACTTTACTATTTTGTCGAACATAATTCAAAATATAAATCAAATGTGTGTTCTATATTCTAGATCATTTGTGATCCAAAAAATCTTTCTTAACTACTTAAATGCATCTTAAAATGAATGAATGCTTACTTATCAAGTAATGAAGTTATGTGGGGACTTCGATCAAAAAGTAGGTATACTAATGCATGAGTTAAGTTTGAAATAATTTCCAGAAACATTATCGTCATTTGTTCAAGTGCTGATTTACGAACACTTGCATCTATTTTATTACGATCAGTAAATATTGTACAAAAACGAAGAAAACTTTCACTGTAAGACTAGAATTATAGAAACAAAGAAAAAGAAATTCTATCATACAATTTACATTAACATATTCTTTTGTTAAGATTTCTGTATTAACAAATAGATCAAGTAATTTGTCGACAGGATAAAATTCATCATGTAGTCTTATACTATATGAGTATTTGCTTGCAGATAATCAACACATTTACGATAATCTGCTGTTCGAACACTAAATAAAAATATATTGATCAATGGATAATGTTTTGGATTCAACAAAAGTTATTTTTCTACTTTTAATTGTCGTAAAAGTATTGCAATATTCATTTGATACTTATAATTTTGATTGAAGAAGAAGATGAAGAAGAACAGCTAATCGACATTAATTCGAAATTTGAGAAAAATATAATTTAATATATATGATCACGACCGATTACCTGATTCATGTGTCATGTATTGAATTAGAACATCAAGTGAAAAATTCTTTTCAGATAAATCACATTTCAAATTATTTGTTGAATTAAAATCGAAAAATCATTCAACTTTCTCTACATTTTTGAACAAACATTAATAAATCATCTAACTAATTCTAAATTGAAAATAAATCAAACAATTTGCTTCACTGCTTTTCTTATTCAATTATTTATTTGATTTCTATTTTCATCCATAGTTAAAATCTGATAAGCTGCTAAAAATGAACAACAAATATCTTTATCAAGTTTTTTAGCTGTGGATCAATTGTCTACTAAAATAAATTCTATAGAAACAAAAAATTACCTCCTCAGACCATTCTATTGTATGTAAAAAGGTTGAAAAAAACTATAGATTGTTCGACTTTGAAGTGCATCATTGATTGGTAATTGTTGTTTAATTAATGAATGTAATCGACAGAATAATATGCAAACTAAAACATACAGAAAATTAACTTTAAGAAAATTTCATGTTTTCGTATCATACATACATTGTTGTATAGAGTTATGTTTGACAAATAGATCTAATGTTTCGATAATAGAGCATAACAGAAATCCAATATGTCAAATGATGATGGTTGATCAACTGGTGGAGATTCATCGTCAGGGACGGCGCGAAGCAACAAAAATATAGGGGGGTTACTTGAAAACGGGAGGTTTTTTCAAAAATCGGAGTAAATCAATAAAAATCTATTCTATTTTCTTCAAAAATTGGAGTAAATTAATAAAAATCTCTTCTATTTTCTTCAAATCGGAGTAAAATTGAAACAAAAATTTCCAAAGTTGCGGGGAGAAGGCCCCCCCCCCGGG